ACTCCTACCCCAGCAGCATTCAAACTGAATGTCTCTCTCTCTTCACAATATCTCGGACGGAAATGAAACTTGCATGCCATTTATCTTTTAGTGTCTCTGAGGACAAACCGAGAGAAATGCTTCCTTTCTCAGACCTAAATATAGAGTACTCACAGTTTCCAGATGCTTTCTCCTCGAGTCTGCATCCCTGACTGTTCATTTGTTATAGATAAAATATATTTCACACAAAGTTTGTCAGCGTCATTGTGCGAAAATCGAAATAGCTCAGCCACTATACAGACTAAACTAGAGGTTGGACGACTTGGAAATCGGGGTTCGATTTCTGGCAAGAACAGAGGATTTTGTCTTCTCTACGATTGCAGACCGCTTATGGGGTCCTCCCAGTCGCCTGTCTAATGGTACACGTGCTCTTTCTGCAGGGATAAAGCAGCCATGGTGTGAAACTGTCTTCTTATCTATATTTAGTGCCGTTGGCCGCTCCATAGCTCAAGCGGTTAGTCGCTGGCTTCCCACCGCGGCGGCCCGGATTCGATCCCGGGTCTGGTCAAGTGGGATTTGTGGTGGACAAAATGGCGCTGGGGCAGGTTTTCTCCGAGTACTTCGGTTTCCCCTGCCAATCTTCATTCCACCAATTGCTCCACAATCACCCTCACCTATCATCTGGGGCTGGTACAATAGGCCAGAAGTGACCGCAGAACAAGGGACTTAGCCCAACCCCGCTAGCAATAAAAAAAGATTTAGTGACGAGTTTAAGAATGTTTGCAGCCATATGCCCATTCCCCCATACGTCGTTATGGAGTCGTACTTGATTATGCTTAGGGACAATTTCACATTAATTTTACAGCATATTGCCTTATAAGCCCGAATAAAAGGGAACCATGAACACAAGGTAATCTTTTATTGTTCAAATTAAAAATCAGGAGAAAGAAACCCGTTTGATAAAAATTAATGCGCCATTAATTCTGAGTGTTGTAAGCAGGAATTAGTTGAAGTTATATTTTTAACAAAGAATTAGTAAAAAAAATAATATCTTAAATATAGTTCTACGTATTATCACAAATATCATCAGAATAATCAATTAGAACTCCTCATTCTCTCTTACCGCCCTTTTTCCTCACCTCCTTCCTTCTTCTCACGCTGGGTCGCCTCTAGTAGGTTCTTCTCTCTTGTTGCTAAATTTATCTCAGGGTTATTTTAAAGGAGGGGGTTTTGTTGATTTGGTAGAGCTGAGTACCTCTTATCTCAGAGCCTTGAACGGGCCACAACTCAGAAAGGAATAAATTAAACACAACAAATCACAAGCACATCTCAAGTTTGGACGAATTATATTGAACACTTGTTAATCACTTTTGATACAGTTTCAATGTCAGTAACCTTTATGTCTAACTGCTTCGGAGCCCGGTGTGTAACTTTTTTGCGGCTAATTCTACGACTCAGGTTTCCGAATTTACGTCTGTTTCTTTCAACTCCCGGTTTCCGAATTTACATCTCTTTCTAACGAGTCCCCCTTTCCGACTTTACATCTGTTTCTCACGACCCCTGGTTTCAGAATGATGCTAAAACATGACGCTTCCTCAAACATTCAATTCCTGCTTTCACCAGCGTCACTGCCCTGTCACACCCTTAAATTTTAGTGATTGGCTAATTTTGAAAAATAGGAGTATCTTAATTAGATATTCCTCCACTCCGCTTAAAGCTTACAAGCGTTTAAGGATTTTTGACTCCAACGTATTTCTGTCAGAAAGTGACAAATGCTTAAGCGTCGCTTGGGCCCTAAAAACTTCACTCTTTTTAAGTTATGGCATGCACAAACTGCCAAGTATTGAATTTACAAAAGATTTCTTTACTCTATTCTTTAACGCAGCTTTCACTAATAAACCTTTGACGGGTGTCTTCCTGTCTCTTGTTGTAAGCTTGGGGAACGCTTACCCTTACATACAAAAATTGACCTATGTCACACTACCCTTGTTCACTGCATTTCAATTTGAACAATTAAGCTTTCAAATTAATAAAGTTGATTACATTAAATAAGTTGCGTAGCAGTGGAACGGTTACAGATCATCATCTTTGTATTTATTTCTAAGGAGCAGAAAATAAGTTGGCACACGTTTTCTCAGAAGCAGTGTTTAAAAAGAAAAATCTCGCCTTGTATCCTGTGGCTGGCGAAGTGAAAGGACGCCCAAAATAGCCCACATGCTGTGACAGCCAGAACAGTAGCAACGGACAAAGCATGAATTCACAAATGTATAGTGTGATTCTAAATTACTGTCGAGGTTTCCGTGGTCTATATTTTTCAAACCAAAAACAGATAAATAAAACAGCTTACATAATATGAATGTGTAATTCAGAAAGTATTTTTATTCATAATCAGTTCTGCATAATTGGAGTAATATCCCATAAAGAGCTTTAATTTTTGTTTCTGGTTTCAAAATTACAGGCCACCGAAAACCCGACAATAATTAAAATCATATTTTATGTTAAAGACTGCTTCAAAACTCTCCTATTAGACAACGTGACAAGAGTGTTAAAGTACAGAATAGGATAAGAATAAGAACAGACGTCAAGTCAGCAAATAGAGTGTAGAGGAATATTCATTATGGAACAGTTAACAATATTACAATAATGAAGTGGCCATTCTAGCTAATAAATTTGGGTTCTAATGTGACATGTATAGGCGTACATGCACAAAGAGAACTTGGGGTGTTGGTATGAGACGAGATGCGGAGCTCTCATTCAAAATATTCCAGAGTTCGATCCCAGGTCAGTGCGCGGAATTTTTGTGCGTACCTCTACAAAATATTGTCACGTGTCCAGGGTTCCGTGACTAATATCTGTGGATTCTTGATTTGACGATTAGTTTTATTTGACATCACTAACACAAGTACACTCGTTTATAATAATTCGCACGTTCAACTCCTGGATACCCAATCCCTCACCTTCGTCTGCATCTTGCGCCTCTGGTTTTCTGGACTCGACTCTTACTTCTGTCTTCTGGCTTCGCTTCTGAGCTACTGAACTCTGCCTTCAGTTCTGAACTCTGGTTATAATTCTTAGGCGACCATGATAGCAGACACCGCCACGAAGATGTCTGTATTTCGTATCTGCGGTAACTGTCTGCCTAAGCTCGCGTTACTACACGGAAACCCCTCCAGTTCCGCAGTAACCTGTATGCCTAGTCGAGTGTTTCATTGGAAGTGCATGTATAATAGTCCAATGGTATGCCGATGTCACAGGAACATGCTCTGTTAATACTCGTTGCCTAGGAAATTAACTTTGAGCTGACTCAACTACTCCGGCTTTCAGGCGTCACTTCACAATATCCCTCTTCCACCAACTTTTTCGTCCTTACATATAGCAGGAAATAACAGAATACACTATGGGTGCACAAAATATATAAACACAGACCATATTTATGTCACCAAAAGTACATACATATATTTACATAAACATTAGTACAATTTTTAGAAGATTTCCTACAAGGTAATTAAATTGAATACAAATAGTAGGAAGGATGCAGGTACCGATAGACTCTCTTGAATGTGATGTTTCTTTTTAACTCTAGGTGAATTGATGTTAGACAGTGGAAGATCTCAAGAAAGAATTTGGCATGCAAGCGCTAATTACTGAAGAATGTGTGAATCGTACGAAGAGTCGTCAGTGCATGATTAAACATACAGTAACTAATGTGAAGCATGTGTAACTCATTGACTGTAAACAGAAATGTAATAAATAGGAAATCAGTAAATTTAAAATAATATACACTTAGGCATTGTAGTACACTTCACGGAGGCATAAATTGTTTCTTCGTTACAAGTCGTTAAGTGTACAAAGTAGCTGAAAATACTTGAAACGAAAATTATAGACTGGAATAAGAGTTCAAGCCTTATTTTATATATCAGGCTTTGGTAGAATGGGGCCCTTTTTCAGATACACGATGAATTTCCTTCAGAATTTATGTAAATTATCTAATATACTGGATCGGTATGGGAAAAAGCTCTATTTCTAAGCGTGTTTTTAAATTTAGACTCAAACATTTATGTTCATTGCAGTCGGTTAATTATTTTGAATAAGTGGCAAGCAGAGCTCTGCTTTCAACCTGCTTCACGCTGGTATTTCGATCCTGAAGATGGAGGCGACCTGTTTCTCCGAAAGTCCGTTGGCTTTTCATAAGAATTTAAAGAATAACTGTAGAGCCGGAATAGCTCAGTCGGTATAGCGACTGGCTACGGGCTGGACGACCAATTGGTCGGAGTTCGAGTCCCAGTGGGGCAAGGATTTTCACTTCTCCATGTCGTCCAGGGGGGTAATGTCTGTCAGTCTGTGTGTGTGAATCGGCTCAAAGTGTTGGAGATTTATCCTTGTAAGTCGATATGGGATGCTTTCACTGAAAGCTGTTGGTCTCTTCCGGTTTTCAGTTACATTGATCTTTAATAAAGCCCCGTTGGCATAATACGTGTATCATAAACGGACATTTCCATATTGCCTCTAAATTTTACGCGGATTTTTTTAAAATTCGGTACAGCAGATTTACGCTAATTTACGTTTCTTCCTCTTCTTCTTCTTCTTCTTCTTCAAGCTTTACAGATTATGTCTTCTACCCTGTTAGAATTCAAAATTAACTTCTGAAATTATAAAGTTCAATGACAGTTGTAAGAATTCCTTAGATGGGGGATCGGTTCATCGCAGTGCCTATACTGACTCAAAACAACAGGCGCAGAACGTACGCAGACGTAATTCCATGTATTGAATAAGATTCAAATCTATGCCCCGCTGTTCGAAGAGTAGAAGACCTCGTGGTCAGTGTAATGGTTTCATTATTTCTAATTTTAGTAAGCTTAATAAACTTCAAATTACTCTCACGTAACGTTGCGTACTGCATTGTGCAGCACATTCTTTATAATGGGGTTCTGCTTTGCGAAGTGTAATTCAGCTGAATTGAATAACAATTTAAATGCGTAAGTGCGTTCTGAAATGACTTGTTTTGCCCGTTACCTTGATAGGTGTGGAAGAGGAAGTGCAGTGAACTCGCCTTTACGTGGGGCACCATTGGCATGACCAGCTTAGATGAGCCACGTCCAAACTATCATGGTGTAATGGGGATTGACGTGGTGACAGGTCGTTATCAGCCTCAGTTCCCTCGCTGGAAAACCAACGCCAGGGTGAGTATTATAACATAACGCACACATTTAAATGCTCCAGTCAGCGATCTCGACTATAATAACCAGTGACTGAAATGAATGGTCATTACAGGTCATAAGCGTGCGAAAGTGTACTCCAATAGAAAACATATTTTTCCATATAAGGTTCTTGAGATTTTTCTTACGTCATTGCCCTCGGTTTTCGTCTACTTCAGATATAATTCCGTTGTTTTCGAAGTTATGTGTAAAATAAGAAATACCTTCGTCCACTCGAACACTGGGGCCTTTGGTTCGAATTCCAATAGAGGAATTACGTGCGTCTGCATTCTCTTTTGTGTGTATGTGTTATTCTCTTTAAGTAGAGGCCTTGTGACAGACTGATCCCCATCCAAAGGAGTTTTGCCAACTGTCTGTAACATTCAAATTTTCAGATTAATTGTAAACGGTAATAAACCAGAGGGTCTAGTCCGACAGAAATGCAAGTAGTGGTATTCATAATCGTAATTGTAGGCCGTGCCACAGCTAAGGCGGTTAGTCGCCGGCTTCCCACCGCGGCGATCCGGGTTCGAGCCCTGGTCAGGTCATGTGGGATTTGTGGTGGATAAAGTAGCACTGGGGCCGGTTTGCTCCGAGTACTTTAGTTTCCCCTGCCAATTCTCATTCCATTGATTGTTTCACAATGATTACCCCCATCATCATCATAATCATCATCATCATCATCTGTGACTGGTACAATGGGCCAAATAGTGACCGAAGTACCAAGTGGACTCAGTCTCATCCCATTGAAAAAAAATTATAATCATAAACCAGCCTGAATAAGATTCGAAAAGAAAATTACGCCTACTTCGTCAGTGTCGAAAAAGAAGCTAACAAGAAATAACCATTAAGCAAGTAGCAATCTGAAATTTATTACATGACGTTATATCTCAGAACACAGATATCTTCACATTAATAACGAGTTTGGATTATATGATTGGATTTATTAGTACCTTCTTGTACAGTCACTCGTAACCACGATCAATTACAATAACTCACATAAAATGACTGCCTAGGACTGGCTCTATTCTGACTGGAACTATCGGAAACCAGTTCTCTGCTAGAAGCAGATTCTTCCTGTATTAATTTTGCGAAATACAACATTAAAATAAAGTAAAGTAAGTAAAGCTATCCCTGCACCAGGCCGTGAAAGTCCATAGGGTTGTGAGACGTTGAGGCTCCCACATTATCTAGACAATCGGCTCAAAGATGGAGGTAAGTTTGTCAGCCTTACGCGCCGGCCGCGCTTTACTCCTCAGGAAAATTATTTAATTATATCCTGGTACTCGTTTCTGTTAGAGGCTGAGTCGATCTCAGGGCCGCGGCCGGAAGGATTAGGTAAATTGAAAAAATTTCATGACCTCATCTGGACTTGAACCCGCGACCTTCCGGCAATGCAATTTGTTCAGATGCAAACTGATAACTTACTTACGCGTGGAGCTGAGCCCTTCTGGAGGAACCGCCAATTCTGCAGCTACTCAAGAATTTCCCAGCATTTTATGGAACCCGAAGGTTTATTACCGTCTTCACAAGAGCCTTCCACTGGTCCCTATCCTGAGCAAGATCTATCCAATCCATACCATCCCATCCTATCTCTCTAAGATTTTAAGATCTTCTGCCACTCCCCTGAGTGAACCTGCCCTATACAAACTTCATACATTCCAAGTACCAAATCTCACATCCATTTTCATTAGCTTAGGTCGTTAATCCAAGGAATCCGTTCAGGTCTGAGGCTTTGTGTTCATTTTCGTAACATAATGATTTTTACGGTGAGGAGTTGTTAGCCCCACGCCCAACCCCCAAGCTGGAGGACCACCTCTTGTCAGCTGTCCGCGACTGCTTATTCAATATATTCGCAGCTTCCCTCCAAAACTGGAGGGCGTCTCCTCCATCCGCAACCTGAGGACGCGCCAGACCGTAGTGACAGGGACCCACCTGACATTGAAAATGATAACTAGGTAATCTTAAATTACTTCAAATTTAAATAACTAATAAATATCTGTAAAAAGTAAGCGAGCCTGCTGATAATTATTTTGAGTGGCAACGGTGCTGCTTCTAACACTTGTTTCCTGATAAAATTATGCGCTTGAAGAGGTGGACATCTACAGCATGGCGTTTAGTGACGTGTAGGACACGACGGCAGGTAGTGTGGTAGGTACGTATCTACTGACGTTTCGCAGATGCTTGCTTACCCTGCTTTTACCCTAAATATGGAGGCAGTACAGTCCTCCGAAACATCTTAAACACCTACCACACTACACGACGTCTTATTAAAAAAAATGGCGCAATCTTGGACCCTTAAATGGGCCGTCTGCGCAGGTCCACAGTTCCTGTTGGTTCAGACGAGACACCAATTCCCACTCTACACTCTCTTCCTCCTTTGTTCTTCAAAACAGAATGCCATGAATAAAAATAAGTTGTAGGAAGAATTAATTGTCTACTAATTGATAGGATACTGACCTCATAGAACACGATGCGTCCAAACGTCTGTATTTATTACCGCGGAAATATGTTTACCGAGCCGTTGCCCAGCAAGGGCAGGAGGATTTCAGGAGTAGGGGAGATGTACAAACATACAGAGAGCAAAGCGATCTCATGAACCTAAAAAGAAACTCACCAACCTAGACACTTGGACACGGAATGTGGAGACAGTATGTACCTCCGAAACGTTTGTGACGTCACCCACATCCACGCGGTGTGACATCCCAGAAATATTCATAGTCACCGGCTTGAGAGCATCAGATATCATATCCATAACAGTTCTAGAGCTGCCACCGTCTGTATAGTACAATCAGAAGGTACAGTAATTATGATTGCTCACGTTGAAGTCTGTATGCATGTATCTTTGCAGTTATACTGTGCCTCGTTGCCCATTGTATTACTGTGTATGGTCGGGGCTTTCTTCGTTATGCTTGCCTCTTTCTGGGCCGAAGAGATGATTATACATATGAAGAAGCTACACGGTCTGGAAGCTGGCGGTCTCCTGGTTCTCATGCCGAGTATACTGTATTCAGCTGTAGTCTTCATAATGAATTGTTATTACCGAAAGTTAGCAACGTTTCTTACTGAATGGGGTGAGTAACACATACGTGGTATTTAACTAATTCAGTTTGCTTTTGTTTAGCTTTTATTATAACAAAGACCAACCGAGTACGCTAGCTCAATCGGCAAATCTTCTTTTAACTTACATACGGCAGACGCCCTCTTCGAATATTGGCCTGGAGACTCTGTATCTGACAGTGGATTTTCGTGGTTATCTTCAGTCCTGACGAAAATAGCGAGATAGAATCTTAAATTAGTCACGGCCGCTTCTGGCCACATCCTTTCCAATTAGTTATTCTGAATCATCAAATCATTCAACGCTAATCAGCCTGAAATAATCGCAGCGTCGTTAAATAAACCTAAATAAATAAATAGATTATAAAACTTTAGGTAACGTGTAATGAATCCCTAAGATGATCTTAACTGTAGTTACAGCACACTTGGCAAAGCGTCGCTGTAATCAAAGTCCGTGTCCGGCATTGCTCTGACAAATGCGTTGGTCTCGTTTGCCAAATCTGAAAGCTGCCAACGTTACCTGGCTTTGATCCATTGGGCTCCGTAGAGGATGCCGTCTATGTACTTCCTGTGAAACGGTGAAGGCGTTCGGTGTGACAGGTTGAAAATCAGCTCGAGCCGACTGTAGCAACAAACAGTCTGGGAGAAGCTGAATGGAAGTTATTAATACAGCGCGCCAGTATTTATGATAATAATAATAATTAAATTCCTAATCTTTATCAATTTTGGGGTTTCTCTACAATTATAATGATAAATTTTGACATAATTTTCTACTGCAGTTGTTCCCATACCGAGGGGCGTGAAGCCAACAACAAAAATCAGTTCTTAATGTTAAAGTCAATTGAAATTTAATTATTTACGTCCCAGTAATACCGTATGGTTGTTAATCCAGATGTTAGTACAAACTAGATTGATTAGATTTTAACGTTTCTCTGAATTAGTCATTTCCAAATAAAGGGCACAGTGCAAAATTCTGATTTAATAAATTTTGGGTTGTGGTACTTACGTTAACGGATGACGCCCTCGCCCCCAAATTTACCCAATCGAACCTCTAATCAAAATTAGTTTTATAAGCTGCAATTTCCTCTCCTCATTAAATCTAATAAAAACCAGAAGATTTGCCCATATAATTCTTTTGGCCTCCGGTCAATATGCGTAAGTGGGCTACCGGAATTTTACTCTCAGTTTTGGCTTGGTATTAATTACGATTTAAATGATCATAAAAAAGCAAATAAAAAGGAATAACTTTTTTAATGAGATCCAAGTTTGATGAAGTGTAACGTGAAGGCGCCATGTTAAATAGTTTCAGACTCACTGTTCCGTGGTAAGGAAACAAGACACCTGAATTTTGTTTACCTTTGTTTCTCGCCTGGCGACTAATAAGAAGTCAGAATTTTATTGCTACATGCTCGGCCTGGGTTTGTGTTTACTCCATATTAACCAAAGTTGTTGCAATTATGTGTGTTGTTACGTCTCACATTTCTACCTTAATTGAAATCAGAGTTGTATCTTATAAAGTTGTTTTGTAATATGAAGGTGTATAATCACTTTACGCTGATCACAGTAGCCACGCGGTCTAAGGCATGACCCGCTCGCTTGGACACTGGGATCGTGGGTTCGAATCCCACTCAGGTCATGGATGTCTGTGTGTTCTTTTATTCTGTTTTTATATTGACCTGTGTGCAGGTAGTGGACTTGCGACGGGCTGGTCACTCGTCCAAGGAGTCCTACCGTCTGTGTAAAACAGATTACGAAACTGAAGAAGAGGCCAGGGCCCAACAAAGGGCCGTAGGGCCATTGATGAATGATGAATGATTCACTTCACACAATCTGTACACACAGATCTCTGTGAAAGGCAACAATGTCTAAATACAAAGGAAGTGTTCTCGGGCGACGAGCCACTTCAAAAGGGAATCAAACTTTGACAGTAAAAGTCGGCCTCCGAGACATTTCAGTTTTGTTATGAATTGACATGGTTACCGGAGGAGACTTGACTGCATGCATTTAATACCTGATAACAGCGTTTAATTATTTATGGATCTGTTATGATTTAGAGAACCATAGAACTCAATCGCAGTTTGACAGACATCGGGTCACGAAGCTCGTTCTCTTTGAATTTGTCAACAACTTCATGTCGCTTTTCTACATCGCCTTTTATATCCAGGATATGGAAATGCTGAAAAATGTAAGTATTCACCATATCGGGACAATAAAATTAGTATCTAAGCTTCAAATGGAATACAGAGAATCGAGTGTAAGTCACGATGTGACTGTGGACAGTCATTAAATCCGTCTTGGTTTCGAGCCTCTCTGAGGGAGAATAACCAGATTTGTAATCTGTTTTTAGATAATTGTCATCTTCGGGCTTCCTCTGTGACGAGGGAACGAGCCTGTTCTTTCTCAGTCTTCTTTTTTTCCCCCGAAGTCTTCTCCACTATATATATATATTCGCAACACTACTTTTACATAACTGCATGAAACCAAGGAAACAAAAAGTTGTGTGAAGAATTAATTGCCTATTTTTCTTTCACTACATGCTGAGCTTTGTATACGACAGGGGCTGTATAGAAAAGAACACGTCCCACAGTTCTATTGTTGTTGCGTACGTATTCGTTGCAGTGAGAACATTTTTTTTTTTGGCCGATGCTTAGCAATGCCTGTCTGTTCTGTCCCCACTATTCCAGCTTTCATGTATTAGAGGGAAATACACAACACACAGACAACAAGGTGATCCCATATGCCTCCTTTAATTCTTCAAAATAAGGACAATAGACTAACACAATTCTTGCCGCATATACACTTTAACACTTCATGTAAAATATACAGAGTCACTGTCCCTTCAGGCTTTGAGCAGAAGATTACGCCTTATCATACTTAGCAGGTGCTATGAGAGTCTAGTCACTTGAACGGCGAACACATAAGGCAGTGTTTGAGGCTAAAGTAGGATGCAGTGGTAGCGAGGATGGGATTGACCCTATGGGTAAAGCGAAGGCTATGTGACGTTGCCACTCACCTCCATCCATTGAGACATTAAGAACTCGCGGGATATTGCTTCCACTTTCCCCTGCGGTTTCTAAACATAGTGTATATATAGAGGGACACGTTCTTTACTCGCTAACATCCGTACTTCGTATTCTGAACTCCACGTTCTTCCTTTCTGCTCAGAAGACAGAATTCTTAGAGGTTTTCCTCAGTTAAAAAGAGTAAAGGTCAAGTTGTTCCTGTGATTAAGTAATTAAGCACTACGCCATGAATACTACATGCAGGAGTGGATGTGTAGATTCACATTTTCTTGACCTCGGCACTAGTTCGAGGTGAGTGGTCAGCTTCACGTCCTTGCCACTTTACCCCCCGGGGAAAGAGCTCCCGGTACCCATTGGTTAGGAGGCTAGGTGGACCCCAGAGCAGGTCTGGATGACATGGAGAAAAGGAAACTCTTGCCCTACCAGGACTCGAGCTCTTACACTTCGGTTGTCCAGCCCGTAGCCAGTCGCTATACCGACTGAGCTAACCCGGCTCTAGTTTTCTTCAATTACTTCATAAAACTAAATTATAATTCAATAACATGAAACATAGCTGTTATTTTCCTAATCCTTCGCAGTTCATCACTTACCATTTGACGAAATATAAGCAATTAAGTTGAGAAAGCGCCATTAAATGAACTAAAAAATAAATACGCCTACTTCTTTGTGAGGGTAATTCCCAGCAGAATGTAATGAAAGTTTTTGGAACTTTAGGACGAAGTCATATAATTTACACTGTTTACTGCAATGTATATCTGCAGTAAATACGTTTTATTACTAGAATACTTAAACGGGAGTGTTGAATTAACACGCAGTTGCCCCTTACGAACGATTTTTTTGTGGAAGAGAATAAGTCCAATCAAAATAACCAAGTTGTTTTTGGACTCATTCCACAGTGGAGCTGTGCTAAGAAGTTTACCACTGGTTGACAACAGCGCGTCAACTACTTCAAGGGATCTCTCAATAAACATAAGTTCCGATTCAAAAGTAACGATGCATCTCTTCAATACCCTGCGTTAGAAAGAGAGAAATAAATGTTGTTAAAACGACCATAAAACAGGCCCAAAAGAAAGCAATTAACGAGCGTTAAATTTAAATATTTCTTTTTCTTTGCGTATACATTCTTTCTACCTTTCTCTCTCACTCTTTCTCTCTCTCTCCTTCTAAGTAATTAACTAAGAGAAACAGAGTTCTTCTTGAGAAGCTAATATTACGCATTGCCAGTGTTCTTTATTATAAGATTTGAGGTTCTCAAAGCGGTGTTTATGAATACTTCTATCATCTTGGATATAACATCATGTGGTCCGTTGAATACCAACGGATGTTCTGGACTTGTTCTTCAACCGTGAAGATAGAGACATGTTCCTCCGAAATATCAGATGATTTTGAAAGAGTGTCTAGCGTTATATCCAAGAAGATATAACTCCTCGTTTATTATCGTGTTCACAGCATTCCGCCATTAAACCCTGTCTTAAGCCCATTCAGTCCAATCCAGGCCCATACACCCGACTACCTGCAGATCAATCTTGGTGTTTTCCTCCACCTCTCCACCTCTAGTCCTCTCAAACAGTGTCTTCGATTCAAGGTTCCCGACTGAAACTGTGTATGCAATCTTCATCTCTCTCTCTTCTGTGTAAGACTAATTCTTTTCCTTGATTTGATCGTCCTAGTAATATTAGATGCCGATCACAATGGCCGCGCGGTCTGAGGCATGAACCGTATTCGCCCGCTCCAACACTGGGATCGTGGGTTCGAATCCCACTCTAGACATTGATGTCTGTGCGCGTTTATTCGATGTTTGTATTGGTCTGTGTGTAGGTAGCGGTCTTGCGGCGGACTGATCCCCCGTGGAAGGAGTCCTACTGACTGTGTACAGATTAACAAATTGAAAACGCGGACAAGTTCCACAAAGGCTGTAGAGACATAGATAGATACATACTCTATTTGCAATACTACAAACCCTATACTCTACAGAAGCAAACTATTTGGCTAGTAGTGAAAAGCTTTCTTATGTAATTAGTAATAATTGCATACAAATTTGTGTGTGACGGTGCATATATAGGCTCTGACATTATAAAATTGCATCATTTTATTTTTCAGCAATTGACTGTGATGTTGATTATATTTCAAGCCATAAACAACTTTCAAGAAGCTATTCTACCACTTCTAATAAAGTGTTACAGCAAAAAGGTAAGTAAGATTTCTGTGTTCACTGTCTCAAGTAGACGGTGTTGGACGTCTGACCTAATAAACTGCAGGGCCTACATACACGTACATTTTCATTTCCCTGTATTTCATAATTATATTGCCTTATTCTGATAACTAAATGTAAAGCTATCCCTGTCACAAGTCATGAAGGCCCATAGGTTTGTGAAACGTCGAGGTTCCCACATTTTCTCTAGACAATCGGCTCACAGATGGCAGTAAGTTTGTCAGCCTTAACCGCCGGCCGCCCTTTAGCACCCAGGAAGATTCCTGGTACTCATTTCTGTTAGAGGATGAGTCTACTCTAGGGCGATAGTGCGGCTGGAAGGATAAGGTAAATTGAAAAAAAAAAATCCACCTCATCTGGATTCGAACCCGCTACCTTCCAGCTTATAGCATAGGGCCTCAACCAACTTCCCTGCCGCGTGCCCCATACTGTGATAAATACCGCTTGAAACATCCACCTGTTCCCATTTGTTTCAGAAGTTCAATGGAGTCAATAATAGAGTAAGTCGATGGAGCAAAATCCTTCTTCACAAGCTCATATTTGCTCAATTTGTCAACTCCACCTTTCATTAAGCTCTAAAATTCATTAATTCTTAATAGAAACTTACTACTAGATTCTGTACCCAGTCATTACAATCAGTTCTACACATTCACACTTTTTAAGAAAAGTTTCATTGTTGTCATTCCATTTTCGCCCGGATATTCTCATCCTATAACTCAAATAAAAACATATCCCCAAAGCAGTAAGACGAATATAATAAGCACTGCTGTACAAGTAAACGTGCAATTTATATTTGGCATAACGCACTAAATTGGAAGTTTATTTGCAGAGAATAAACAGTGTCTTGAATGGATGTAGTATTAATTTTCCTCCTTTACCTACATTTTTGTTTTCGCATTTGAGGGGCTACAATAACCAGCTATAAAATAAGGACAGTGATCTGTATTATAAAAAAATGTTAGTAATTTAAACTTTTTTCATTAACGAGACACGTCATAGTAGGGATTTTTCTTAGAGAACTGTACAGGCGTGAAATAGATTGAGCCACCCTTCACATATCGAAACTCAACGTCACAATACAAAAGTTTTTACTACTGCCCAACACTCTGAACATCTTAATTTTTAGTGTTTAGGTTTACAATTTTCATAGATTTCTCCAGTTCCATTTGTAAAACAACAATATAGGCCAAATATCTTGAAATAATGGAGCAAAGCAGATTCTTTCCCCCACGTCCTTCCCTATGTACCTCATTCAAAAAATATATGTATATCCTTATGTATGTATGTGTGTGTGTATTGTAATGGTAATTAGAAATTCCGAAATTACGCATTTTCGGTTTATTAAAGCAACAATTTGTCGAGCGTTAACATGTTACAACACCGTATTTTATGTCATAGGTCACGAATGAGCGGACAGTCTTTTGTTTTATCGTGCCGTGTCTATTTTGTGAGTATTAATAATATTTTGATGTAGATATGTGACGGTAGTTAGTGTTATCGTGAAGTTTTATTTAGATTGTGGAATATTTTGAAAGTTCCTTTCGTTTTCAAAACGTGCATAAAGACCATTTCAATAAAATTTTGCCGAGATCTCTAATTGAAGCAACAGGATAATCCAAGTGGACACTTGAAAGTTCTGTGTAAGTAACATGAGGAGGACATGACTATACGACCGCTTGAATTCACATCCCCCTCAGCAGCAGAGCTCATGCCTGCAGACTCAGACCATATTTCCCTCCCGTTCATGTCAATTCTAAACAGTCACTCACTCGCTCGCTCATGGAGCTGAGCACTTCTAGAGAAACCGCCAATTCTGCAGCTACTCAAAAAATTCCCAGCATTTTATGACACCCGAAGGTTCATTACCGTGCTCACAAGGATCCTCCACTGATCCCTATCCTGAACCAGATAAATCCAATCCATACCACCCTATCATATCTCTCTAAGATCCATTTTAATATTGTCCACACACCTACGTCTTTGTCTTTCCAGTGGTCTCTTTCCTTCTAGCTTTTCCACAAATATCCTATATTCATTCCTCTTCCCCTTATTCATGCTACATGCCCTGTGCATCTCATCCTCCTTAATTTCATCATTCTAATTATATCGTACTTGGTCTCCGAGTACAAGTTATGAAGCTCCCCATTATGCAGTTCTCTCCAACCTCCTGTCACTTCATCTCTCTTCGGTCTAAATATTCTCCTCAACACCCTGTTCTCAAACATCCTTAGTGTATGTTCCTCCCTTAATGTCAGAGGCCAAGTTTCACACCCATACAGAACCACATGCAATATTAAAATTTTGTATATTCTAATTTTTATGTTTTTAGACAGCAGACGAGAAGGCAAAAGATTCTGGACTGAATGGTAACAAGCATTACCGGAATTCAATTCCTGAATCAGGTTTTGATTTGTTACTGTCATTCTAAAATATGTGAATTGCGCCACATTCTCAAAGGATCTATTAGCTGCATTATGTCATGATTTTGCCATCATTCTGGTGACGATACAACAGCATACACCTCTAGGTTTGCTTCTAGACCAATCTCTTTACTAGAGTAAATTTAAATTTCTGTTTTTCTTTATGTTAATTATGCTACCACCCAGTAGATTCACATCATCAGAATAGACCATAATCTAATATGTCCCATTTAATTTCAGTCCCATCTGGTTTTCTTGGGCCTTCCTAATGGCATAATCTAAAGCAAAGTTGAAAATCGGTTGCGATAATTCGTCTCCTTGTTTTAGACCATTCTGGATGGGAAAATATCAGACAAATTTTTACCTACGTATATGAACCTTACTATAAGTTTCGTTTAAACGTATTTTAATCAACCTAACTAGTTTCATGGGTACCCCAAACTCTGACAGAATATTATGCAATGCTTCCCTCTTAACTTAATCATAGGCATTCTCTAATAACGAAGTAATACCGTTGTTTGTGTTGTATATGCAAGCCTAATACCATTAGTAACCCCGATAATAGAACCTGTCAGGAAACAAAGAAAAAATATTGTGATGAATATGATCATTGCTAGGCAACGATTCGGTAAATAGCAAAGCCGGAATAGCAAAGAAGAAGCAGAAGTCTATTTTCCAGGCAGCATCTCGCTAGCAGGCGTTCCCGCAGCAATGGATACGACATACCAAAACACGAACTGTTTGGTGTTGTGGCCTCCCTCTATTCAGTTCTCTCGGAGTTGTAAAAGAGAGTTCATTCGGAAGGAGTTCAATGAATGTGTGAGCGTAGAAGAGATGACACTCGTGGTCCAGTAAGGAATGGGACGTGTCATAGAGAGATACTGATTATGAACTGTCATAATTGATTGAAATTGTAAAGAAGTTCCAATGAATCCAATCAACAAATCGAGAACCCATTATTGTTAGTCACGCATACCCCTCATGCGTGACAATATATTAAATACAGGTATGACTCGAACTTCACTGGTAAGAATATAGTCCCAGAAGACTAACGATGAGTGAGGCCCGAAAATATTTTGATGTCTGTGCCAAGACTGTTAATAACTTCTTCATTTATATAGCCGACATCGACATATCATGAACATAAGTTGCTTTATTAATACATTGTTTAGAATTAATTACAGTTTCGTGGTTCTTTTGTGACATTGTATTAATTAGTGATACAATCTTAACTGCGATGTTTCACCTTTGATATTGCTTCATTATTCATTATACCAAACCTCTTAACTGTATTATTTCTTCTATCTAATTAAGTTTTAAGTTGTATTTGTATTTCTTCTAACAAGGAATGAATTTCTCTGAAATCAGATAGCTTATAATAAATAGGATTTTCATATTAACATTTCAAATTTACTGTTGAATTTAACTTTTCCTCTCTTTAGTGTGTGTGTGTGTGTGTGTGTGTGTGTGTTTCGTGTATGCGTGATCGCATGGGTGTGCATGTATGTGCTGTTGTAAAAGTGTCATTAAATACAAAAAAGACGAATAAATATATAGACAAGGTTGGTGAACTGCTCCAGTGCGACTGGTTTTTAAAAGTAAGCGATCCCGTCATCGGGTCTCGGTTTGTATTTGTTGGTTGACTCTTTTTTTTTTGTTTTTATGTTGACAGTTTCTTCCTTTATAGGTTACGAAAGCACTAAAATTCGACGCAATACTTGGAAACAAAGACAATGAAGGAAGTAGCTACATAAGGAAGAGGAGGCCTACCCTAATTCACGAAAAGGACAGTGTCATACCTGATCATATTCCGGCACTGGAACCAGATGATCCACGTATAGAACTCGCCATTGCTGAAGGAGAAATGGAAAACTACGAGGTAAGGGAAAAAATTGCATGCAAAAACTGCACTTAAATATTTCATTCACATCTTCTTTCACAAGAAGTAAGAAACTTAATTCCTTGTGCCTAAGCACAAGCAGAAGTGGAGGTAAAGCTTCGCACATTGTTAACCTTAGTAGTATAAAGAAAACGAATGAGCGTCTTCATGTTTCGGCAGCTTTATATCTGGTACCCACTGGATTAGTTCTGTAAGGGCCAGACTGGACGTGGATCCCCTGTTTGGAATACTATTAGGCATCCATCCCTGCACCAGTCACTGTAGAACTGATCTATCCAGGCTCATACATTGAAACAAGCGGAAATGTTAAATAAATAGCTTCTACATTTTAGACGAAGAACATATTTAAATTCTGGAGATACCTGATAATATTCAGTTCAGAATCTTTTTTATAATTATTATTTTAATCCCCGGCCTAAAACCTCGTATATCCAAATATAATTATCTTAGTAAATACCTTGTATTATAAAATTATGTTTTGAATGTAATTTAGATGGTTGTGGAATATTGTCTCTCTATGGAGGAACGAAGTTTGAGGGTGTTGTTTGGACTCGAGACATATGAAGTAAAAAAAAAACAATGATGAACTTATAATTTGTACTCTTCCTAAGTATTTGCTTCCTGTTTGACTCTGTGGTCCTCCAAAAACCTTGTCCTTCTTTGTTGTTATTCTCTTTAGAAGTAATATTATGTACAGAAAATCAAATGACGAGGTTAGCATAGTTTTCACATATAGAACGATTGGGAACATGATAAATGCATAATTATACCTTTTCAGTTGTAAACTTGATGGGAATGGAAGACCACGATTAACACGTAGGCCTAGACAGAAGAACACATTTAATTACATGTTGCGTAAAAGTGTGAGAGAGTGGAATGGATACAGCTGGCTCATGGGAGCGACCAGTCGGGAACTCTTTTGAAAACGGTAACGAATTTAATCTTCCAAAAGCAGTGTAGAATTTATTGACCAGCGAAGCGACCGTCGGCTTTTCGTGCTGTACCCTGTTGCGTACAGTTATCTGTCTTTTAACCTTACATAATCATCAATTGTTTTTTATATTCGTGATGCTTGCGTCGGCACAGGAAAAGCGCTATCAGAGTATGACACCGGAAGTTGATATATTTGGATGCTGTCATTCTGTAATGTCACGTTTTCAGCAATGTTTATACCATATTTAAACTTATATGGCATAATACAGGGGGCGCGCTGTAGCGTAGTTGGTTGACCCACTGTGCTACAAGTCAGGAGGTCGCAGGTTCAATTCCCGATTAGGTCATTGGACATTTTCAATCAACGTAATCCTTCCAACTACACTGTTGCACAAGGATCTAATCAGCCTCTAACAGAAATGAGTACCAGGAATATTCCTGGGGGGAGAACGGCCGGCGCTTAATGCTGACAAACTCACCGCCATCTGTGAACCGATTGTCTAGAAAATATGGGAGCCTCGACGTCTCACAACCCTATGGGCCTCCACATCCTGTTACAGAGATAGCTTTACTTTTTCCCTTGGCATAGTACAGATCATAGTTAATCGTACTTTGAATCTATGTTGGAGACTGTTCTGGAAGTACCATATTAATCTTCAGTTACGTATAGCTGTGTTATATCTTCGAGCAAAACACGAACTTGCATTTCAGAAAGTTTTGATAAGATTCTTCTTTTTATTAAAATCAAAACATACAAATTTGAAAAGTTTACAGATTAATTATAAAGGGATTATTGCAATTTTCATATGCCGATGTTCTATCAATTAGTAATGAAGAAGCACACATATTCATTCCACATAGTGGCCTGACACCAAACGACGCCGACTTGTCATTTATTTTGAAGGGATTAAGTTTTCCATTAATACCAGCTTTTGCTGTAAAAGATGGAACGAAGAAAAAGCACAAAATTAATAAAAGAAAGGTAGGAAAAAGAAGAGGAATGAAAATAAGAAGAAAATTAAGGGGTTCCCCCTTTTGGGATTTAATGCCGTGTAGTCTACTACAAGGTGTTATATTCCAGAAGATAGAATTTGCTGTGAGAACCCCAGTTACTACAAGGAAAAAAACGTTCCCAAAATCTAGCCCTGCATATTCTGGGAAGCTTCCATTTCCAACTTCCACCGTAATTTCTATAATAATAAATTAGTTGTCAGATCTCTGTAGACATACATTATCCCCCCACATTTATGTCATAAGTCTATATAATCCCGCTTTCATAACTGTCATTATTTTACAATGTACCATTTCTTATTCTCAGGGAACATATGATGATTATTTGGAAATATTTATACAATTCGGATATGTATTCCTGTTCTCTTCTGTGTATCCAATGGCGGCTCTCTGGGCAGTGGTAAACAACATATTGGAAATAAGGGCGGATGCCTTCAAACTCTGCTGTTTATACCAGAGGCCAATGGCGAAAAGGGTGAAAGACACTGGAGCTTGGCAGGTAATTACAAGCTGTTTCACATCATCTTACAGTCTTGCAATATTTACAAAAATTCCCGGGTATCATCTTTATCACCTCTTATCTTTCAAGTGCCTCTAAACCATATGATGAGGTTAGCAGGAATAAAGCCTACAAATTAGGCTATTAATTATAGGCCTAGTGTTTTGTTATTCTCTTCGTGCGAGGTCTAGTGTATGGAAAATATGTCAAGTTAGCATAGTCATGACAGTGCTGAGAGCATAATTTTTTATCCTAATTTTAAAACGGAGGAATGAAAGATGGAATTTTTGGGGCTCAAAACGTTTTTCTATCTATCTATCTATCTGTCTGTCTATCTATGGCTCTACAGCCCTTGTGGACCTAGGTCTCTTTTTCGGTTTGTTAATCTATATAAAGTCCGTAGGACACCTTGGACGAGTGACCAGCCCGTCACAAGGCCGCTACCTACACACAGAACAACACAGACACAGAATAAACGCACACAAACTTCCATGCCTCGAGTGGTATTCGAACCCACGATCCCAGTGTTCGAGCGGGCGAAGACGGTTCATGCCTCAGACCGTGAAGCCACTGTGATCGGCCTAAATATGTTTTAAATACATATAATTGCTTAAGCGCTTTCCCATAATTGAATTTGTGGGTGAACGGAGACACCTATGAAAACGTACGATAACACATTCAGTTGCTAGTGCAGCCTTGGTATCAGGAATGATAAGTTCTGGTCTGCTGCCTGCTTCTTGCTAGTTACTTCCTTGGCTTACTCTTTAGCGCTGAAGATGGAGGCAGTACATTTCTCCGAAACGTCGGTGAACTTGTATCAGGCTTCCCGGCGTCAGATGTCAGAGGAGAGTGCCCTTCACAGCTTCAAATCCAGCGTCTCTCTGTTTCAGCGTGCCTTTGAAGCTGTCGGTGCTATGTCTATTATGACAAATTGCGGACTGCTTTGTATGTCGCCGCAGCTGCGACGCCTTGCGCCGTCACTAACCTCAGTGGAATGGGTTCTCCTCTTCGTTGTTCTGGAGCACATGCTCCTGGGAATCAGACACATCCTCCATCTCGTGATTCCTGATAGACCGGAGTGGGTACGAGTGGCTCTAGCGAGAATCAACCACCAATCCAAACAAGCTCTTAAGAACGAGGTGACAGAATAGTGAATTTGTGTTGTGCTGTATTTAATGATGTTCAAAGTGTGACAGTTAAATACCCGGACTGATTTTATATTGTCCCGGACTTGTAGTGAATGGCATCACAAACTACTTACTCATCTTCTAACACATTTAAGTATATGTCATAGGATTTATTACACAAAACTTCAATTTTTTTATGATTATACAGGATTCTTGGATGTGGCGTCACGCCGTGTAGTCTGATAGATCAGTTTTTTAACGTCCATATATCTTTGTCGTCCCGTCAATATTGCAACACCTGTTTATTTACCACTTAATCTTAATTTTAGTTTAACATTTTACACTTTGACACAACATGTTTCGGCCCCAAACGGCCTTCTTCTGGTGTCTTGTTATGTTACAAATATTTTATTAAATTATGTTAAAACTGCTACACTCTATTAGCCCGTGTTAAAATCACACGCTGTAGTTTCCTTTTCAAGATAAAACAAGATAAAATCCATTAAAGTTTCTATTAAACCCACGTTATTTTGGTGCAATCTATTTCTCCTCACACGGAGTGTGTTCCATTGTTCCCAGGTGTTTTACACCGGCAGCTCGCCCCTCACGTTCGTAGCCTACTTTTCAGTCATGTGTGCGCCCCTGGTTTGCGTGTTTCCTCCACAGCGTGTGGAGGACTTATGTCTTGTGTCTTGACTTGTGTCAAAGTATAAAATGTTTAGCTAAAATTAAGATAAAGTTTTGAATAAACAAGTGTTGCAATATTTACCAACGATAAATACATGGACGTTAAGTTAAACAATTGCAACAGGATGCTGAAATACATAATTACTGGTAGATCATTAGTGATTTTTGAGGGCAGAATATTGACACCACCTTCAGGATAGAAGATGGGGGTGACACTTTCTTCCTAAACATTGGTTAATATCTGCCAGACTGCATTGCGTCACTTCCAAGAATAGTATCCTTTTCATTGGGGTGAGAACGGCAAATCTGACTGTTTCTATATTTGCAAGGCTTATTATCATGCACGGCCACGGCTGTAAATATTTGAAAAGATGTATGTCACATCCTTTATTCTCTGTAACCTTATTTTAATTCAGGTAAGAACAGTTCCATGTTATTTTCTTGCAGAACACTAACTTCAGTTTGCCAGTGAAGATTAATATGAAGAAAGCAGTCTTCTGGGATTTGGCACCGTGTATATGTGGTGTTAACCGACGTTTCGGAGGAATGTATCGCCTCCATCTTCAGGGTAGAAGAAAAAATATATAAGAAATCTGCAAGCAAAGAGACCGTGAGAACCGGTAAAAGCACACAGTCTGCTTTTACCGGTTCTCACTGTCTCTTTGCTTACAGATTTCTTATATATTTTTTCTTCTACCCTGAAGATGGAGGCGATACGTTCCTCCGAAACGTCGGTTAACACCACATATACACGGTGCCAAATCCCAGAAGACTGCTTTCTTCATAGTCACCGCCGTGAAAGCCTCAAATCTTATAAAGATTAATATGCCCTGCTATTCTTTCCATTAGTTACGAAGTTCATTAAAAGTGCATGTAAAAATTAACCTAATATCTACTTAACAAAAATTAAGGAAAACCTTTATTAAACATAAGAAAGCAACAAGAATATATGTGACATAAGAAATAAACAATTTCATAATTCCAATACAGTTTACATTTATTATTGCTAGTGGGGTGGGACTAAGTCCCTTGTTCTGCCGCCACTTCTGGCCTATTGTACCAGCCCCAGATGTTAGGTGAGGGTGATTGTGGAGCAATTGGTGGAATGAAGATTGGAGGAAACCTACCCCAGCGCCAATTTGTCCACCACAAATCCCACTTTACCAGACCCGGGATCGAACCCGGGCCGCCGCGGTTTGAAGCCAGGGACTAACCGCTTGAGCTATGGCGCAAATATTTACATTTAAGAAAATCCCGGGCGAAGAACATATAGTAGTGTAAGTAGTTTAAAATAAATAATTTGAGTTGCTGACAGGTTCACAGATTCATATCCGTCATTTCACTCTTCTGTCAAAAAGGCAAGGAGCAGTAGATCCCTTTAGATCCCTTATGCGTTCAGTCTTCCACAGGATATGCTATCTGCAATGCCCATACATGAACTAGCACTGCGACTATTATCTAAATTGACAGTTGCCAGTTGTCCCAATGCAGTGACCCCTAGCGTCGCTGATCAAGTAGCGTTACACTTTATCAGCTGCAGTGGACATCCCCATTGTAGGCTTTATCTGAACATGATAACAGCCGATCCTGTTATATGGTGTCCCGTGTGTGTATTATCTTTCAAGAACAGTAACACTTCATAAGTCACATCCTAAATAGAAAATCAATGAGGGAATATATGGGTAAAGTTTATAGGGCAATCCTTCCCAAATCGCCGTTTTTGCTGTGCTGTTTGGAGGATCTGCGGCTTTCAGTTTGAATATAATTTTGCCAACGGCGGTACTTCCTTTTACTCTACATAACTGCACATACGCATACCCACATCAGTAAACGAGCCGGGATAGCGCGGTTGGTATAGTGACGGGCTACGGTCTGGACTGCCGAGGAACCGGGGTTAGATTTCCGCCAGGAACAAGAGACTTCCTCTTCTCCACAGCGTCTAGACCGGCTTTGAGACCCAACGAGTCTCCAATCCAATGGACACTGGGTGCTATTCTTTCCAGAGATGAAGCGGCCGCAGAGTTAAGATTAAGTATTTTTTATTGCTAGTGGGGTGGGACTAAGTCCCTTGTACTGCGGCCACTTCTGGCCTATTGTAGCAGCCCCAGATGATAGGTGAGGGTGATTGTGGAGCAATTGATGGAATGAAGATTGGCAGGGGAAACCGAAGTACTCGGAGAAAATCTTCCCCAGCGCCACTTTGTCCAGACCCGGGATCGAACCCGGGAAGCCAGTTACTAACCGCTTGAGCTATGGCGCGGCCCCATGATTAAGTACGTTGCAGATATAACTTCACTCCTTCTTGTCTTAATGGAGTTGAACTTACTTAATTAAGCACACGGACAGTTTTAACTTTACCTTTTACACACGGAAATAATCTGTGGCTATTACACCAGCAGATCCATATTTGGCGGGACTTCTTCTTCTTCTTTCTCACCTCTACAACCCTTGCTGGGCTTTGGCTTCCATCACAATTAGCCGCCATGTATTTCGTTCCTATGTCTTCTCTTCGCATTTACCAATCCTCATTTGCCTTAGGTCGCCCTACACATCTTGGAACCATCTCTTTCCAGGTCTTTCTCTTCTTCAACATTCAACAAACATTTCGGAGTCCTCCCACGCTCCATACCTTCTACATGGCCCAGACAACTAAGCCCAAGATACTTTGCATATCTCAGCATATCCTCTCCTTGAAGTAAAGTATTAATTTGGAGGGACAAACATCCAAAATAAAATTTTATGGCTTTAAGATTGTCACTGTTTGTCTTACTGTGACATATTTCTATATTTCATATCATTTTGTGTTTGGTGAAGGGACAGGTGACTTAGTTAAGCTGTTATGAGTGTTCCCAGCGGATGGGTTGCCCCCAGATTGCAGCTCCGCACATGGAGCTTGTCTTTCCAAACTCAGCCCCCTTCAGGCGCTTACTCCTCCCCTTAGTTGGAGGGCGATTACTTTATTGCCATTCTTATTCAGGGTGAAACATAGACATCACGGAATAACTCACAGCAGATATTTCTTATTTATTTGTAGTTTTATTTAACCTTCCTTTCAGGACCTCAGATTATAAATTATGCATATTATGATTACTGATTAATGAACTCGAAATTGTGTGGGAGGAAACGGCCGTGGCCTAACTTAAGGTACTAATCCTCTGATTTTCTTGAAGGAATTGAGTAAACCACAAAGAGCCTTGGCCAGGAAATTCGGCCTGGGAACCTCTACTTTAACATGACCTCCCGAACGGAACAAGGGATTCTAATTCCTCGACCGCAACTTTCAGTGTAGAAAGCGCCGAATAATAAAGATTAGTTATGATTCTTGTATTTTAATCAACATTTTAATTCATATTTGTCTTAACAGGCCGCCTCTCTGGTCCAATGGTCAGAGTTCCTGGCTACAGATCCAGATGTTCGGGTTCGATTCCCGGCGTTACCAGATCTTTTCTGAGAAGTAGTGGGTCTGGAACGGGGTCCACTCAGCCTCGTGGTGATAATTGAAGAGCTATTTCAAGGAATTAGTGGCTCCGGTCTAGAAAACCGAAATTAACAGCCGTGAGGATTCGTTACGTTGACCATGCGACACTCTCTATCGGCTAAAGTTGACACTAACTTCTCCGGCAAGCGGCGGTCACTCGGTCGGTATAGTCCGCTTGCGGACTAAAACAACGGAATTTGTTTGTTTTGCTTTTATATATAAGCAGATGCAGTTACCGATTTTAACACGGAATTCACCCATAAACAAAGCTCCCTGCGATGTAAATGTTTCTTACCTAGAATATTTTGGATAATCGTGGTTTACGTCAATAACTATAGCGACAGGCTACGGTCTAAATGACCAAGGGATCGGGGATCCATTCCGAGTGACAGCTAGAATTCTACGGTTCCCTACAAAATCCAGATTTAGCTTTGCGGCCCACCCAGCCTTCTGTCCAATAGGTAACAGGGACTGTTTCCCCTGGGTTAAGCTGACCCAGACGTGAAGCTGACCACTCACCTCCACCTACTCCCAAGGTTAAGAATTCGTGGATTTATACCTCTTCTCTGTCATGCGTCTTCATATTACTGTACATAATTAATTAAGCACAGTAACAATTTTACCTCCTTTACCATTATTAATATGGACCCAATTGCTTCTTTGTAAATAGNAAACGATGATATATATATATATATATATATATATTCAGAAAGGGGTACGCTGGCCTTAGTCCCGGTTTGGAACATTTAAACCTTCTTCAGTTCTTTAGGTTCGAATTCTGTTTTGGTTACGAGGCATGTACGATTCCAAATAAGCACGCCACCATAAAATCTATTCATTTCAAGGTCACGTGAGCCGCATCGCTAATGCCTCATTATAANCTGGTGCAGGTTTTCTCCGAGTACTTCGGTTTCCGCTGCCAATTCTCATTCCTCCGACTGCTCCACACTCATCAACTATCATCCGGGGCTGGTACAATNTATCATTTTACTCGTACAATGCGTTATGTTAAACTGGTGTATAGTGAAACGATGATATATATATATATATATATATATATTCAGAAAGGGGTACGCTGGCCTTAGTCCCGGTTTGGAACATTTAAACCTTCTTCAGTTCTTTAGGTTCGAATTCTGTTTTGGTTACGAGGCATGTACGATTCCAAATAAGCACGCCACCATAAAATCTATTCATTTCAAGGTCACGTGAGCCGCATCGCTAATGCCTCATTATAATATTTCCAGTTTACTGAGAGCATGAGAGCAATGGAACTTATGAACATGTTGAAGATAACATCCACACAGGAAATTGAAGAGAGCACAGACTGATGATATAGGAGAACAGATGATAGAAGTGGTCCCTATTCTGAGCCAGATTAATCCGTCCAAGACCACCCCATTCTCTTTTTCTAAGGTTTATTTTAATATTACCTACCCACGTATGCCTAGGTCTTCCTAGTGACCCATTTGTTCTGGCTTTTTTCTTCAAGAACCTTTAAGCATCCCTCTTCTCTCCCATGCGTGCTACATACCCTCCCCTTCTCATCCTCCTTGACTTAATTCTAAGTTTATTTGGAGAAGAGTATAAGTTATGAAGCTCCTCGTTATGCAGTTTTCTCTGACCTCCTTTTATTGCACGCGTTTTGTGTCCAAATGTTCTCCTCGGCACCCTTCAGTTCTTCCCTTAATATAACAGCTTAAGGTTCACATCCATACAAATCTACAGGAAAATTATAGTTTTGTTTATTCTAATTTTTAGGCCTGAACTAAATGGTAGCAATCATAACCCGAATGTTATCTGCTCTTAATTTCACGATAAAAAAAATTAATCTGTTACTGTCGTTCCCAAATATTTGAATTGTTCCACATTTTCTAAGGAAATTTTAGCTATCTTTATGTTATGCTTTTGCCCTGCATTCTGGTAAAGAGACACCAACATAATGTAGCTTTTCAGTACATACTGAATATATCGGAAATTTCAAGTCACGTTGAAGCGTCTCTTAGCAGAACAGTTGTTCTTAAGCACGGCCACCAGCTGTTTTCATTCCTAATAATTACGTCTTTTGTTGACAACTTTCCCTGGTTTCGAGAAGAATTTTCTTGCGATCTTCTGTAAAGTTACATGGATGGAAGCCTTCACCTTCATTTTTAGGTGAACTAGTATCGCAAGAAACTGACGGGTAGCTGTGGAAGAACGTCCAGTGAGCATGTTCCCGTCTAGTCAGCTGCTGTAGATAATGGTACGCCTAATGATATTTCCCAGCGGTTATCTTTAAATTACAAATTAATGAATTTTCTTTGCAGGGACTTTTATACACATAAAAGTGACGTGTTGTTTAGTTACATAACCACGGAACACGAGCTTAGCTATTCAATACGGCCACCGGGTATTTTTGCTCAAGAGATGATGTGCAAGGACGTGCCTGATGACGTTGAAAGCATATTCTGATATGTTCTCAGAATTTTGCAAATATGTTTGCCTTTAATTACTTCGTATGTCATCGAATGTTCGCGACTGAAAATTTTGATATTTATGCTTCTTCTTCGAATAGTCTTGACATCGTGTCTGAACCTATATTTCCTGACGGGTTTACATCGTGGCCTGTAGTCCCTTTGGGGGCATGAGGTAACGTAGTTGGTTGAGGCACTATGGAAGAAGCCACAAGACTGCGGGTTCTAGTCCCTATGAGATGGATTCTTTTCCATTTTACCTAACCCTTCCAGCCGCACAATGGTCCTGGTGTCGACTCAACCTTTAACAGAATGAGTACCAGGAATCTTCCTGGGGGATAATGGGTGGCCTTTGCATAAAACTGACAAATTTACCGCCATCTGTGGGACGATTTTCTAAAGAAAATAAAGGAGCCTCAACGTCTCACATCCCTATGGGCCTTCACGGTCTGTTACAAGGATACCCTTACCTTACCTTACATTTTTGTAATCCCTCTAGGCTACTGGTACAATAGTAGTAATTTCAGACATTCCACTTCGTTTATGTACATGTTAATTTAGAGTATTTCTTTATACCTTATTTAACCTCGCTGTTCTTAACCCGATCTATTTGGTATCGAACGATCAGATGGTGGTCAGTAATGAATTAGGATACGAAAGGACGCAGTAGTGATCTAATTTAATGTTTTATCTCGGCATTTTCTTAGGTTAGCCTCTGTCCCTTAAGATATTCGAACTGCGAACCTCGCAGGTACAAAGAAGAAACTTCGCCTCTTAAGTCATCTGACCCAGTAGTACATTCCAAGGCCGTTTCCTTCAATATCTCTTAAGATACACCACTGAGGTTATTCAATTCATTCTAAGGTAGTTACTATAGGATTCTGACGATGGTGTATAACACACAGAGATATTGGGTTTTCGGACTTTATCCATCGTCCTGGTTTTAAGATAACTAAGAAAAACACGACGTTTCGAAAACTGAATAGGTGTTTTCCCTCACCTGAGGACGGAAACAGATCCAGTTCCCGAAACGTTGTGTTTTTCTTAGTTATACCAGGACGATGGATAAAGTCCGAAAACCCAATATCTCTGTCCATTCTAAGGTATATAATAAAACTGGAGCTGAAAGAGCATAGTTAAATAATCCAATAATCAATCATTCATTAAACTTTTTAAAATGGACGGTTTTAAAAGAAGTGTATATAATACGTAATGTGAAATGCACAATTCTCAACTGATGTTTTTTTATTCGCAAAATTTATAGCATTTGCGATGCATGATGTGCTCGTAACATTGGATTTCTCGAAAATAATTTTAGAAAATACTCTCTGTCTTAATAACTGGTCAATTTCAGAGTTCCAGGTTTTGATTCACGCACTTTCTTTCTTTCAGAGAACAATCAAGAATCGCCGTCATCTGTTTCGAAGATACAATACGGTGCACGCTTCACTTAATCACAACGATTGAAGACTGCATTTTGTTCTGATCAGAAAAGCGGTGTGCATTCACGCCCAATTTCTTTTCGTGCCAATTTATTTTAGTTTCCAGAACTGCAGTAGAAAACAGGAGATGCATTTTGTGTTTGTATAGAGCTATTTCACGCTTAGCGTTTCACTCAGTTTTGCATAGAATACACTTTGAAATTTAGTACTTTTTAAATAGAAGGTGATTGCTTGTAATTTATTTATTTATTTGTGCGTTTATTTTCTTCACAACTTTTTAAAATAAATTAATAAATCCAATAGCAGAAATTTCTTCCGTAATAACATTATGAGCCTTATAGGCACTCCGGTTATGAATACAGGACAAAGCTATTACTTGCATTTTATGCTTTTTTTTCTTTTCAGCTATTTATGCTGAACCTTTTCTTGAGAATCTCACTATATGACGATTGATGTATGGGTGATGACTCAGAAAATACGAAGAAAGAAATATTCGTGATCCATTTTGAGGGATTTTTCGTCGCCTAAATTTTCTATAAGAATTGCACAATTTTTAGTAAATGGGTGATACCTCCATCATCCTCAGGTGTACATGATATGAAGAAGGCCATACGTTGATTACCCCTTAGATAGAGCTATTCTCATTCCCAATTAGTTTATAAAATAGGAAAGTGGACAATGGTCAAAGTCCATAAAAATGGCCTTGGACATTTCGATTAGCTTAAGTAGTTCATTACGTATTAAGAATTAGTTGAGAATATTTTAGTGTGTCTCTCCTTGTGTCACAAGGTTCATTTAAGAACGTAAATAACATATTCTAACTCCACTATTACGTCTTGTGAAATTCAGTAGAAATCGCATTGTTGTAATGGAAGGATATATTTATAAACTAAACTAATTGTGTTCGCTTTCACATATCCAGTTAGAGTGAAGGGCATTGTGTTCCTTCTGTTACACAAGAATAGAACTTTCGGACCCTCGAGTCATAAGTTCGAACTAAGTAACGCCTGTAAACGTAAAGTGTTATTCTGACACTTATGACGTAACGACTGAGCAATGAAAGCAGCAAAACTGATTTATTCGCCTAAATAAAGTGATTACTGTACGTAGAGTTCAGATGTTCCCTAAACTGTTTTGACAGATACAACTGAGCAGTCAAATTAATGCACTATGCTACACCCCGGAAGGTCGCGGGTTCGATTTACAATGAGGTCACTTTTATTCAATTGATCTAATACTTACAGCTGCGCTAAGGCCCTCAGATCCACTCAGTCACTAACAGAACTGAGTACAAGGGATAAAGAGCGGCCGGGGCGTAATGCTAGCGAAATTACCACCATCTCTGAGCCGATTGTCTAGAGAAAATATGGGAGCCTCGACGTCTCACAACCCTACGGGCATTCACGGCATGTTACAGGGGTAGTTTTGCCTTCATTTTTAGCACTCAAATTAAAAAATCGGCCGTATGCGTTTATGTTCTCATACTTTATTAATTAAAGCTCTTATACCTGATGAAGTCACATTTATAGGAGGAAATGAGTGAAGCTTGGAGTGAGGGCCATCAAAGGGTCGCGAACTACACTAGGGGGTTTCCGAGTTCTCAAGAATTATTTAAAACGTAATTGTGTTCACGCACATTTCTAGCGCCTCAGTAAATCAGTAAGACTGTGTATACGAGTAGCTACAACCGGCAAATATACTGGCACTGTTCTGCTTACAGTAGGTGCAGAGAGGTAGAAAAGCTACTGAAGCCCCTGCTGGTACCGTAAAGTAAGTAAAGCTATCCCTGTAACAGGCCCATAAGGTTGTGAGACGTTGAGGATCCCACACTATCTAACAATCGGCTCAAAGATGGCGGCAAGTTTGTCAGCCTTACGCGCCGGCCACGCTTTACTACTCAGGAAAATTATTTCATTAATGAGACCACTGGGAAGACCAAGGCATAGGTTAGCGGCCTCCGTAGTCTAGAGGTAACGTTCCCACCTCATGACTCGTAGTACGCGGGTTCAAATACCCGGCGGAGGTCGTCGAATTTTTAAGGGCAGAAAAATTCAGGGAACAAGTCCTCCGGGAGGGACTTTAAGCCGTGGGTCCCATGTAGTTTTACGGCACGTAAAAGAACCTCATATCTCCAAAGGAGGTCACTGAGCCAAATTAACGGACGTTTCCCGCCCAACAGCACTCTCTAATACCTCTGGTAGATGGGGGAAGCATTATAGATACCTCTCAGCTAATAGAGCCGGTCTCGCTGGCTGGGCGGGACTGATGGTAAGCACCAGTACAGGTAGGATATAGAGACTGGTAGAAATCATAGAGGGAAGCACAGTGGACCAATACAGGTCTCAGTGCATGGGGAAACCCACCCTCTCCAATAACTAACTAAGGTATAGGTGGATGGACAATATTTAAATGGATCTTACAGAAATAGGATTGGATGGTGTTGATTGGATTGATCTGGCTCAGGATAGTGACAAGTGGAGGGCTCTTGTGAACACGGTAATGAACCTTCGGGTTCCATAAAATGCTGGTAAATTCCTGAGTAGCTCCAGAATTGGCGGCTCCTCCAGAAGGGCTCAGCTCCATGAGTAAGTAAGTAAGTAATACCTGGTACTCATTTCTGTTAGTGGCTGAGTCGACCCCAGGGCCATAGTGCGGCTGGAAGGATTAAGTCAATTGAAAAAAAAAATCCAATAACTTCATCGGTATTTGAACCCGACACCTTCCGGCTTGTAGCTTAGTGCCTCAATCAACTACGCTACCACGTGCCCCGCTGGTACCGTACGGTCTTATAAATTAATGGTAGAGTTGGTCCTGTCCTTAACTAATTAAGGCGTATGAGGGAATGGATGTGTAGATCCATATTTTCTTGACTTCACTAGTTCTTCACTTCTTCACTAGTTGGAGGTGAGTGGTCAACTTCACGCCCAGGACGATTTACTCCCGAGGAAAGAGCCCCCGATATTTATTGGATAAGAGGCTGAGTGGGCCCCATAGCCGGTCTGGACGACGTGGAGAAGAGAAAGTTCTTGACTACCGGGACTTAAACTCCGACCCCTCGGTCGTCCAGCCCGTAACCAGTCGCTATACTTACTACATAAGGGCTCGCAATAATGTTCAGAATTACATTTGTCTTTGACCGGCACAAATGTGAGGGGGGTTAGCCTAAAATTATATCTTCTTTTGTGAAGTCACATCGCAAATTTTAAGAATCTTTGCGTTCTACTAATTATTCCAATAAAATCTGTCACTGTCGGCAAGCTAGTGGCCAATGATATTTGATTCTTCAGTCTTTTAAAGCACTGTTTGAACTGTTGAAGGTATATACCATCGCATAAGACCCGAAGATGATGACGAATGGTGACATATACAAGGAGGCGGTCGTGTGTTTCGAAGCATAGCCCCTAGCTCGGCATTCTATTCGGAAGATTCGAGAAAAGCACGAATATCTTCAGACAGAATAGCCGATAAACCGAAAACTCAGAATATTTACTTCCCAAATGTAAGTATAGAGTTTTGTCGTTTTATGAATTTGTCCATTTTTGTGATGTTTGTAAAGTTTGTACTTCATTTTCGAGAAGTCTACAATTTTGATGACCAAGGACAGATGTTTTCGTGCGTTTGTCGATTCGTCTAGAATATGCTCTGTCAGTAAGGCGGAACATAAAATACACATATTTGTGACTGTGTATTCTAAAGCCTGTTTCGAACCTAATCAGATTACAGAGCTAAAAATAAATGTTGCTATTATCATTGAAATTCCTTAAAATATTCCTGATAAAGGACTTCATTTTTTGGATACAGTAAGCACCGTAAGCCTATTTTATTACAGACCTATGAATTGATAGATCTGTCTGTTAAGTTTTTAATTGGGGATTCATTTTCGATTAATCCTCAACAAGATGGGCGTTGTGTTATTACTTTTCAAACTTCATTACCCAGAGTCTATCTTAACATAACTTTATATTTTTGTTAATTTTTTGTTTAGTTCTCTTCTTCTTTCACAAATTAGTGCTTCTGGCCTGTTCTATTCAGAATTGAGTCTGACATAATGAATCCTACAGATATTTTGTAGGACTCTTCGGCAGGATATCTGCACATCGTCATGCCTCTATCGGTACACGTTAGTTAAACACGGAAAAGGGAGCGTAATTCATGCTGCAAATGGGATTCGACTCCTAAATCAAAATTTTAGAATGTACTGTGGTCGTATGCGCCGTAATTTTTTAAAGACTGGTCAAAGTCAACGTCATAACCATGTTCCGACCGACGGTCAGTCGGTCAGTTTTTCTTAGTGTTAAGCCCCATCTGGAACCCAAGACCAGATTTTTGTTACTGACGGTTACGGGTTTGTTGATGTGGAGGGCCCTCTCTGGCGAGCAGACGGGTCTGTTGTGACAATTGTTGCTCGTCCTTGCCTCTGTTTCGAGTCCCGCGGGACTCATGGCCATATTTTACTGTCTCAAATTCTAGACTCCGCCAGCCTGGAGCGCCAGGACCCTCTTTTATCTCTCACAGAAATAGGGTGGTCCAGTTATTCCTCAGGCACGGTTTCCCTTTTCATCGCCTCCTATGAATTGCAAGGCTACGGTGTGGGCATCTGAACTCGCCTCCACACGAGCTTAAAGACTGGATTTCTTCCAAACAATATGTATAAATTCAGTTTTTACCTCACAGCAAATAGATAAATTCTGCGCTGCAAAAAACCAGCCGGATAATGCCGTTTAGGGGCAAAAAATCGTTGTTTATTTTGAAAAATTTATGAAATGCAGAAATTCGTCTGTAGACAGAATGCAGAATTTTAGTATGTTAAAGCAGGCGGTACATACAGCACGACTGGGCTTTAAATGGTTAAACAACGTTGCTTCAATTTAGGAGTATTTCTATTATAATTTTTTAATACAGAAGAGTTTCTGACATCTGCAATTCGGCCTACGTGTCGCTTATATGCAAGCATGTTCTGATAATCATTTTCTATATTAAGTTTAAGATTTGTATTTAGTAATAACACTGAGAAATCTTGGGTTTTACATTTCAAAATTTGTTGCCGTTAAGCTTACTGAGTAACAGCTGGAGAATGAAATGCATATTTCCATATTTCGAAACAAGCAGTACGTTCGGTTCTGTTTCTCTCTTTGTTCCCACGAAAGTAGTGTCAATATTTTGCAACAGATGATACTCATTATGTAACACGGATGAGTCAGGAAGACCGTAATAGCCCACAAAATATTCAGAAGGCGAAGTGTGCTTGAGAAATTCTTACCAACTGAGGTGACTATGTTTGACTCATTTCAGTGTATGTAGGTAAGACAAGGTGACACGTGTGTTGTAGATGCTGTTATGCAGTTTCGGTGCGCAGTTCTTACATTCTGGTCACGTGGAACAGAGGCAGGACAGCGAATATGACGTAAGGGACATGACACGTCCTTCCGCTTCCGCCTGAATCATGCGACTGGATGTTGGTGCGATAGTGCGAATTTCTTGCCCGTAAGTCTTCGGTTCTTCATACCGAACAGCAAAGCGTTTTGTTTCAAACAGAGATCTGCTTACTGTTTCATTCTGTTATGTAACGATGCTTTGTTGGCAGCTTAGGTTGCGAATGATATATTGACGGAGAATTTGAATGAAGCTGTTGTGGCCTATTTTAGTATATATCTCAGCAGCTGCCTGTACAGACTGGTGAATCGACAAGTCATTTTGTCGCCGACCGTGACTCAGACCGGATAACTGCTGGAACCTTCGATTCCTTCCTTCGAAAGGGACAGCATACTCTTCTAAACATATATTAATTTGTTTTCCCTGTTAATGGGGCTGTACCGACTCTCTGATTTCGTGACTTCGGATGTATACAGGGTGTAACTGAAATATGCACGAGTTCCACAATCCAAAATAAGATCTGTGAGATACAGTTGAAAGAGTACATTTATAACACGTGCTCAAAACTTCCTCCATGAGATTCAATGCACGCCTCGACACGTCTCATCATGGACCGCCCCATCCGTTTGGGGTATTTGAGGATAGTTTGATAGGCACTCACAATTCTACGGAGGAGTGCCTCTTCGTTGTCAACAGGAGTTGCATACACAAGGGATTTTAGTTGTTCACACAGGTAAAAACCGTGAGGATCCAAATCTGACTATCATGGAGGCCATGCGGTGTATCTTCTACCTATCCTATCATGATAGATATTACTGAGAATATCTCACACAGGACGGCTAAGATGATTGACAGTTGTCTAGGTCACGACAGTGTTCTTTCATCCATAACTCGCAAAGTAAATGTTCCCGGACCCATTTTGTTATGTAATATTTTTATATGTGAAACTTGCGTCCAAAGTTAGTCCGCACCTTTCAGTTACAACCCGTATAGTGCCGACTGGTGAATAATGAATTGGAAGGGATTTGGACGGAGGCGGGTCGTGACCTAATGGTGTTACTGTCTTGGAATTTACCTGGAGGGACTGAAGAAAACTACATAAACCTTAGTAAGGATAGCCAGTGCCTCGGCCGACATTCAAACCGAGCACCTCCCGAACACAAGCGCAAAGCGTTGCCGCTTCACCAGCCTGCTCGATAATTGGATTCTTCTTCTTCTTCTTCTGGCCTTACAGCCCTTTTAATTTAGCGTTAGCTTCCATCGATAATGAGATTATGAATGACAAATGGCAGGAAACGTGGACTGTCTCAGCATCCGCCTTTGGGGACGAGTGAAACCACAAAAGGTCAGCGTGTCGCTGGCTGAGAATCAACCCGGATTTGGTTCAGACATGTTACCGATATGCTAACCTGCTAATTTGAGCCTCTTCTTTTACAGTTGTATAATACATTGCCTTTCCGTTGGACCCATGTACTAAATTGTTATTTCTCGATATAATATTTCTTATATTCCCTAAACATGGACAAATCAGTACCTGTGATGTAGACCTATAATATTTTCACGTAGTATATGAGTGATTCTCGAAGGGGTTGTTGAGTGGATTTGGGATTTATTGACCACTTACATGTCGTAACTTAAAATAACTATAACACTATCGCTCTTTCCACACTTTACAAAACACCACAGCACCCGCTAATTCTTTTCCAGCCTGCCGTGTCTTCAGCAGCGGTTCCCTGATAACGGCTTATAACAGCTGGGATTCTTCGGCTCTCGCGCTCAAGTCCTCTCTGAATAGCGGCTCACTTTAAACTATCTCTTTTCTTCACAGGTCCCCGTACAAAACTGACTTTGTTAAGTCAAAATTGCTTTACGACTGGCCCCAATTGTCTTCCTTATAATCCCTCTGCACGGATCACGTTACGAGTAGAGATCTTCGTTTCCAACAGCACCTCTATTGTTGCGCGTTGATTCGTTGCTGTGGAGACGTGTTTGTTTGCAATTTTTACTAGTAGCGGCTCTAATATATTTACCTATTTCGTGTTCGTTGCATGGTAACGGCTATACAAGCTACATAATAAATATTAACAATCTTGAGTACTTTAATACGAAAATAAGTAATGTTCAATACGCCTGTAAATTTAAAGGGTTCTGCCGATAGTGTATGACACTCGGGTCTTTGGACTTCGTCTATCGCCCGGCATTCTAATGAACACAACGTTTCGGAAATCGCATTTCTTTGCATCCTCAGGTGACAGAGTGGGAGGACATTATTCGGCTGCGTCCGCTAGAATGAGCTAACCTATGTTTGTTAGGTATGGACTATGTGGAGAAGGGAAAATTGCGTTGCCCTTGGCAGGAATCGAATACCAATTCAGTGACTTGACGATTTGCTCGTATAGTGCGTGAATTGTAAGGCGTTGTCGAAACCAGGAGTCACTGATCTTTGCAGTGAGATGCATATATTCTTTGGGCGTATAATCTGAATAATTGTATGTAATATTACTTACGTGAGCTGTGACAAAATTTGGACTGAAGTGACTAGCTCCATGGAGCTTACAATAAGCCCTCTGATCAAAAGTGCCAGGCATATTACTCAACTCACATTTTAATTGTCCTTTTCACAAGAGTCATTCGTTGGACCTTAGCCTGGACCACGTGAATCCAGTCCTTAACCTTACGCCCTGATTCCTTACGATCCATTTTAATATTACCCTCTCATATACATACGATATCCTATCATACCTTCAGGTTCTTCGAATAAAATTTTGCAATTTTTCGTGTTTTGTACTTGTCCCGACATCTGACTCCATGAAACCGAGTCCTCCTTTGAGAAGCCGCCAGTCGCTCAGCCATTCAGTACTTTCCCAAAATTTTTTGGAACACAAAAATTCATTATCTTGTTCACAAGAGCCCTTCATTGTTCCCTATTATCCGCCAGTTTTATTCAGTCCATACTACCCACTTTTATGTTTCTAACATCCATATTAATATTATTCTCCCACCTACGTTTATGTCTTCCTAGTGGTCTCTTTCCTTCTGACTTTCTGACAAAAACGCTGCATGCATTCCTCTTCTCTATCATGCGTGTTACATGACCTTCCCATCGCACCCTCCTTGAATGTATCATGCACAAAACACCAGTTTTACTAAATATTTCCAAGAATGGGGCTTTTATAACGCGAATAACTGACTTGTTGCAGAGCAGGATACGCCGGGCTGCGTCCGGATACTGCGCATGTCGCACAAGTCGCTTATTGTTTGATAAGTTGCAACAGGCACTGAAGGTAACATAAAGGTCGCCGCTGAATGCGCACAGGCAACTTCTGTTTAAATACTGTGAGATGACGTCACCCGAAACATCAGAACCTCGCGGAGTGCTCCGAAAGTGATCCACTGCACGTGCTCTCATGTATTGTCTGTAAATGGTTACAAATTATGTATAAGTATTTAATTAAGTAACTCTGATTGCTACCACCATATTTAGGACATCATCACCCCCCTCCCAGTCTGCAAGGGGGGAGAAGTACGGTAGAGAGTCCATTAATGTGCTTATGAATATCAGTTCAATCCGTTAAGATTATATTTCAGTAGTCATAGAGTATTCAGGAGCCAATCACAGAGGCCGTGCGGTCTAAGGCTCGCTGTCTTCGATCGCTCAAACACTTGGATTGTGGGTTTGAATCCCGCTCGAGACATGGATGTCTATGTGCGTTTATTCTGTGTTTGTGCTGCCTTGTGTGCAGGTAGCGTCCTTGCGACGGGCTGATCCCCCGTAAAAGGAGTGCTACCTGCTGTGTGAAAGATCAAGAAATTGAAAAGGCACGGCCAAGGACCAACAAAGGACCGTAGAGCCATAGACTATTTAGGACAGGAGAATATTTTTTTCTTTCTTTGGCTATTTAACGACGCTGTCAGTATCGAGACTATAGAGGTTCTATGACAGGATGATTAATTAATGTGGAGCAGTTGGTGGAATGAGAACTGGCAGGGGAAAAAGAAGCACTCGGAGAAAACCTGCCCCAGTTCCGTGTATTCCACCACAAATCCCACATGTACTGACCTGGATGTGAACTCGGGCCCCAGCGGTTTGGAAACCAACGATCAACCGCCTGAGATATATCGCTGCCTGAAATCCTTTATCGTTAAAATATTTTTAATTTTGTTTTTGACATTTGATACGTTTTTTTTTTGTTTATAATTCTAATTTATTTTCCAAAATTCCAGAGATGAGGGGCAGCTCACCCTCTTCCTGATGTTACGCATGGTTACCATGAAACGTGAGTTATAGCACTTTGAACTTACCTGTGTGTTACAGCGTCCAAAGAGTGACTTAGTTGTTATAATAACTTTTTAGGTTTTATCGATTCAAATTTTAGTTTTTTACGTTCAAATGCATAAGCCTATTGAATAATTCATGTTTATTATTCCCTACGTCTGTATTTAATTTTGGTTTTTACCGATCTACTTTCGGGACGTGAAGCTGACCACTCACCTCCAGCTAGTGCTTGGGTCAGCAAAATGCGGAGCGTAAAAACATGCTTACGCCTATTCATCAACAGTAGACATGGCCATTCTGCACGTCTGCTTAAGTGTTAAGGCTTATAACTTTTATTTGGGAGATACCCGGTTCGAACCTCGGTCGGGATAACGAATTATCCTGAATGAGGATTTTGTTAGTTTTGACCAGTTCCTTCATACAAATTCCGGCGTAACACCTTGAAATTATCCACAACAGATACCGCCCACACCCTTCCCCATTTTTATTTCACCATCATTCGATCATTGGACGCTTTTTGGTCGGAGTTTCTGGTATCGTCGTTAAATAAAAAACCAAATAAACGCAGTCTTCTTATTCTACAAATTGTAATGCCTATTTCTTCGATATGGGTACAGTATGAAGGAAGAAAATGTAAAGAAATAAGAGTTCTTTTTTGTTTTGCTGTTTCATGTCATTCCAAAATTAGAAACTTAACTCTGCCAACCAATAGGTTCCCCCGAAACAAAAAACTGACAGACTATGCGAGGTCATAATTCAGAGGCATACAATATCAGTGTTAAATGCTGTTACAATTTCGCTATGTCTGTGTGGGTTATTTGCGTATTTTCTTTCGTAAGCTACTTTCTATTTCACTTTGAATAATTGTTCGTCTCTTGTTTTGTCCTTGGCGAACAGTGAACACATAAGAAGGTAATTAGGTTACGTAATCATTCTATCCAATGATTCAGTCCACTTACGTCCGTGTGCCTATATAGCAGTGCTCCTGACGACCGGAAGAACCAATTCTAGCAAATGGGTCATCTAGGAGTCAGGGTTGCGATTGAAGTGAAGTGATTTCAGACATAAGTTGGCTGCTGTAGCTGGAACTCTGGGTTTCTGTTGGTAGAAGCCTCCGTTCACATTTTGTTGGACTGGAGGACTCCAGGTCTTAGTAGCCGATTTGGATGCTTAATGCAAGAAATATGACGAGTCAGCCTTCTTTTCACCCCTATCTGGGGGTATCTTACCCCTATATTGGGCATAGCAGTATAAGATCAAGCTACACTATAAGAATCTCTACATGACCGACTTATCCATGTGAATTTGAAGGCGACTTTGCGGGTGAGAATGAGCTTACATTTAATCTTACTTTTGTTTTTTTTTTTCGTGATTTTAATTGATGATTTATTTGTTCTTCGAATAAAGGGGGGGGGGGGAAAGGACGCTCAATTGGAAGGTTGTAGCTGAGTCCTCAGTTTCATCTCCGAAATTAGCAAACTGATTTCCACGAAATTTCATACTAGTTGTCTATTCTATCCAGCAGACTATACGGGAGTATATCCCTGAAAATTCAAGTCTTCATAACCACCGCTGTGAGGACCTCAAATCCCACATATTCTAAAGATATTGATATAATTCCGGCTTGTATCTCTCAAGTCTATTAATATGAGGCGGGTTATGACTATTTAGGCGTACTTGTATAATTGGACTGTGTGTGCATTTTGCGTCATTCTCGCTCCGTAATATTTTTTAAATAGTTACACAAGAGATGGCTCTAATTCAAAACTGTGCTACCTGAAGGACAAAAGATAGAACGTTCATCATTATTCTAATGGGGAGAAAATGTTAGGGACAGACTAGCAGTAAGTAAGCGAAAAAATACAAATTTTGATATGAAGATATTCAGTCTTAAGAAAGTAAATGAGATAGAGGGTAAAGAAACGTATCAAATTAAAATCCAAAATAGTTTCATAGCTTTGGAAAACCTATACGATGGGTATGATTTTTAATGAGGGCCTGCGAATCTGTTAGACAGAATACTAAAATTTCAGCCAATATTATTATGAATTGAAGCAGCATAAACTCTGCTCCAATGAAGGGTCTTCAAAAATCTTAGATCACAGGAAATAAGAAAACTGCAGAGGTTACAGGATCCGACTCTTTAAATGAAGATAATCTGAACAATGTAAGGCTTCTCCAGCAGTACTCATTAACAGAAGCAGCCTTAAATGGACTATATTGCGTGTGTGTAGATGTGTGGACTTACGTGCGAATATTTTTTTTATTCCTAGTGGGGTTGGAGACCAGAGGGAAGACCAAGGACAATATTATAATGGATCTTAGAGAGGTAGAATGAGAGTATGGATTGGATAGAACTGGCTCAGTATAGGGACCAGTGGAGGGCTCTTGTGAACACAGTAATGAACCTTCGGGTTCCATAAAATGCTAGGAAATTTTTGAGTAGCTGCAGAATTGGCGGCTCCTCCAGAAGGGCTTAGCTCCACGAGTAAGTAAGTGGGGTGGGACTAAGTCCCTTATACTGCGGCCACTTGTGGCCTATTGTACCAGCCCCAGATGATAGGTGAGGATGATTGCGGAGCAATTGGTGGAATGAAGATTGGCAGGGGAAACCGAAGCACTGGGAGAAAACCTGCCTCAGCGCCACTTTGTCCACCACAAATCCCACTTGACCAGACCCCGGATCGAACCAGGGCTGCCGCGGTGGGAAGCCAGCGACTAACCGCTTGAGCTATGGCCCGACCCTACGTGCGTATATTAACGTGCTTTGGTACACGTCTCACCCCGTGCTGTCTACAGAGAGATCTCGGAAAGTACGTAGGTAGGAAAGCGATTCGTACCTCAATCGTTTTAAGGTGCTTCGGTTTTTGTGTCCATAATGCTAATGCTAATGTGAAATTATGAATAACACAATGTTTGCTTTAGAGAAGTAATTTCAGTTATTAAATATTTTGTACAATGTGTGTACGGCAAAAAGTATTGTTGTCCCTGAGCTCAAATAATTAAGCACTACGCCATGTAGGTATGGGGGGAAGTAGATGTATATATCCATGCATTCTTGACCTCAGCATTAGTTGGAGGTGGGTAGTCAGCTTCATACCCCGGCCGCTTTACACCCGTTGGAGCTCCCGATGCCCACTGGATAGGAAGTTGGTTGGGCCTCAGAACCGGCCTGGACGTTGCGGATAAAGGAAAAATCTCGCCCGCACCGGGACTCGAACTCCAAACTCTCGGCCATCTATCCCACAGCTACTGAGCATCAGGGTTCCCCATGCTAAACGATAACTCGAATAGGTAAATGCAGAATGGGAAATGTTACCGTCTTCAACAATTTGCTGCATAAATTTTAATATTTTTTTGCAAGATATTGATACATGTGCTAAAGAATTTAGTTAGGACTAATAAACCGTATCTGGAACGTTTCAGGTGTGGAAAATATTTGGCGATATACAAATGGTTTCTGAGAATATGCAGCGTGTGTCAGCCTACAGCAGCATATGACGTCTGTCCGAGTCCAGTGATGCATTCTCCAGAATACCGCCCCGCGTCACCAACAATCGCCGGAAGAGCTATCTAATTGTGTGGTTCAAAATGTATTCTCTGCGTGTAGGGGTTAAATGTCTAATTCCACGCAATCTAATCTATATCCCAGAAAACAGCATTTAGCACTGTAGATGGTTCTTACGTCATATTCTTGTGAACTATCACCGGTAAAGGAACAGTGTAGAAACCACCAGTCGCTTCCAACCTCAGTGATTACAGGGGCTACCTACATGCAGCTCATTACAACTATATTTTAATGCTAGTGGGGTGGGACTAAGTCCCTTGTACTGCGGCCACTTCTGGCCTGTTGTACCAGCCCCAGATGATAGGTGAGGGTGATTGTGGAGCAATTGGTGGAATGAAGATTGGCAGGGGAAACCGAAGTACTCGGAGAAAACCTGTACCAGCGCCACTCTGTCCACCATAAATCCCACTTGACCAGAACCGGGATCGAACCCGGGCCGCCACGGTGTGAAGCCAGCGACTAACCGCTTGAGCTATGGCGCGGCCTCATTACAACTAACTCCATGGTAACTGAATCTTCTTGATCAGCTGGTAAGGAAATTGCTTTTTGAATTTACGGATTTCGAAGGTTCATTATCATGAGGAGTTCTACTTTCTTGGTCATAACGTCGTGTATTTCGTTGAAATTCTACCGACTTATCGGAAAAACATAAAGCCTCTATCTTCAAGGTAGTAAAATGGGCCAGACAAGAAACCAGCGTCAAAAAGTAAGCATATATATACATAAATAACAGTTACTGCACTATAAAGTAAGTCAGTCAAATAGATTCACTCACAATTTATCGAAGCCTCTATTTTAATATTATCCTAACATCTGCTCCAGGCATATCTTGCATAAGTGTCATGGACAGATAAAAAATGTTTCAGGCAGCAATTTCATTTCATCTAATAGTGACGTGGGTAAATAAGATTTGCAGATGGGATAGGAGTAATAATTAATAAACAGACAAATTTACTTTTTATTATAACATCCTTATAGCTGTTCGAAATTTCTATCTTTAACACTTTTCAAACCAAACGTAGTATGTGCTCCCGCTTCGAATTCGGAAGGTCGCGAGTTCAAATATCGGCCCGCAGATAAGCTACCTTGACTTCCATTTCTTTCCAAACAAATACTGGAAAAAAACAAACAAAAACCAAGTCAGTGGCTTTAGTCTGCAAGCGAAATACATCGGCCGAGCTACCGCCGCTTGTCGGCGATGTTAGTGTCAACAATTAGAGGATAGAGAGTGTCGAGGTTAGCGCAGCGAATCCCCAAGGCCGTTAATTTAGGTTTTCCAGACCCGAGGTGCTGCTTTTTATTTTAATTATCTCCTCACTTATTCTCACGAGGCTGGGTGGACCTCGTTCCAGACCCACTATTTCTCAGAAAATCTGGTAGCGCATGGAATCGAACCCGGGACCTCTGTATCTGTAGCCAGGAACTCTGACCACTATACCACACAAAATACCGAGAAAGTACTTTGAATTGTTTCATGACATATTTCCTTCCATTAGACTCTATGTATTGTCAGCTACCATCATTAAATAAAGCTAGAATGAATGAACAACTTCGACATTACTATTGAGTGAAACTCGCAAAACTGAAGATTTACATTTTTATTGCTGCTTACTTGGAATATTTTAGTTACATTCGGCTTATTCCCACCACGGCGGCCCGGGTTCGATCCCGAGTCTGGTTAAGTGGGATTTGTGGTGGACAAAGGCGCTGGTACAGGTTTTCTCCGAGTACTTCGGTTTCCCCTGCCAATCTTCATTCCACCAATTGCTCCACAATCACCCTCACTTATCATCTGGGGTTGGTACAATAGGCCACAAGTGGCCGCAGCACAAGGGACTTGTCTCCCACCTCACTAGCAATAAAAAAAATAGACTCGGCTTACAGATGTTTGGTTTCAGTTTCTCGGCCTATACAGCTGACATGCGCGGCTGTCAGTGTATGTCTGCAGGGCTTTTGTTTCTAATCATGAAAGAAAACACTTGATCACACACTTAAGAAGTGATAAATTCCATTATTCACGTTTGGTACGCACACAGAGCCACTTTCGAGAACTCATCAAAACAAAATTTTGGCACGGAAACCATTCTGATCTTCAGATATAAAATTAAGAGGGGCTTCAAGCTCATTTTCAACATCAAAATTAAAAGACCCAATGAATATTCCAAATTTTATTTCGCATAACTTGAAATCTAGAAATCTAACATGAAATTTACCCCTTAATAACCAATATTTTGTGCAAAGTCAATGAACATTTGATGTCACTGAATCAGACTTAAGTATCTACAAGTTTCAAATACACAAAACAACCCCTCTATAAAGAGTAAGGTGTTCTGGGTTGTAACACCGTGTAGTTCGGAAGCCCAAAGTTTAGGATTAAAGTATTGCCCCCCCCCACTTTCAAAGTTTAAATGTAACCCAGGCAATAAACTAGGAGAAGCAACTGACAAAGAAGCATCTGGATTTCTCCGAGCCACACGGACTCACAATCCAGAACAACTGTTCTTAGCTACCGCCCTTGAGAGCATCATATCCAGCAACACTTTATCTGTCTTCTCCAAAGCCGAAATTTTGTTTGACCAGTTTTTCTGTCCTATATAGACATAATAATTATTTTTTCTTGGAAATGTATGTTTAGTCTCTAGAGGAATCTTCTCGCACTGCCTGGAAAGGCCAAATCTTGTACACATTTAACACGCTTAATCTCTCTCTCTCTTAATTCTTTCACTTCTAGCAAAGCAGTGATTAATTTCCCGAAAGCTTCTCAGCGCTTTGTGCTAAGATAGTCAATGGATTTCTGTATTTTTGACAAACCATAAACGCTTGAACCAACCTGCTCTGAACTTGTTCCCCAATATACGACGTTGGCAAGGATCTTATACTCGGAAGTTAGTAGGCTTCAATCCTGTAACATGTGTGAGGTCAGTGCACTGCACTGTCACTGAGACAGCACGCGCGCCCTCAGTCTACGAAACTATGCACGACTTTGTTACAAACGGGCGCGAGTTTGTGGACGGTCACACAAAACTTTTATGAAAGAAGGATATATCTCTCGGTAATGTTCCTTACCGCCGGTCACGGTAGCCGAGTGGTCTAAGGCATGTACTGTCTTCCCTCGCTTGGAAACCGGGATCGTGGGTTCGAATCCCACTCAGGGCATGGATGTTTAGTTTGTGTGTGTGCGTTCTTCTGTGTTTGTGTACAGGTAGAGGCCTTGCGACGAGCTGATCACCCGCCCAAGGAGTCCTACCGAATGTGTAAGATCAAGAAAAACCGAAGTGAACGAAGAAGTTCATGGAGGTAGGCCTAGGCCCACTGGTGCTGTAGTGCCAAGGAAAAAAAAAGTTCCTTACAGTTATACTTCGGCAGGTCTAATTACGTTTTGAAATTACTGTAACTAAGATAATATATTCTATTATCACCCGCTGGGAGAATGGCCACGAAATCATACAGTTCTCAGAACTAATAAGTAATGACGTAAAAGTTTCGTACAATAGGTTTAGGCTCGTAATTAATTCAGATGTGTTTCCAGAATTACAGGTCTATAAGGTTAGAATGTGCCGGTCACGGTAGCCGAGCGGTCTAAGGCATGTACTGTCTTCGCTCGCTTGGAAACCGGGATCGTGGGTTCAAATCCTACTCAAGGCATGGATGTTTAGTTTGTGTGTGTGCGTTTTTCTGTGTTTGTGTACAGGCAGATGCCTTGCGACGAGCTGATCACCCGCCCAAGGAGTCCTACCGAATGTGTAAGATCTAGAAAAACCGAAGTGAACGGAGAAGTTCATGGAGGTAGGCCTAGGCCCACTGGTGCTGTAGTGCCAAGGAAAGAAAAGGTTAGAATGTAAAGTTGGTCTGTGCTTAAGTAATTAAGCATCATTTTATGAAGAAGTATGGGCGATTGGTGATGTATATTGTGACGTGTATACCCATGGCTAGGCAACGACTCGGTAAACACATTTCCACGAAGCGTACGAGTGCAACAGAAGGATGTCCATTCCTAGGCAACGGACCAGTAAACGTAGAGGCTGCGTTTTCTATGAGTTCAGTGCCGGGAGGTTATAAAAGGACACAGAAGACTGAGGAAACAGTAATAAATATCTGCTCATGAGCCCCAGATGGGTCTCGGCACCAAGATTTACTGGCTGACTGACCTTCAGTAGCAATGTGACTTTGACTTTGACTGAGGAACATCGGTTTGCACAAGATCTACCCGACGCCACATCCCAGAAGGCGGCATTCTTCATAATCCAGGTAGCTTTGTAGAGAAACGATAATTGTACGCAAATACTGATTTCAAGAATACTTCTTTTGGAATGTAAAGACGAGTAGCCTGGTAGAAGTCCACTGACGTTTCGAAGAAACGTAATGCCTCCATCGTCAGGGTTGAAAAGTAAGCCAAGTAAATAATAGTAAGAAGTTCTGCTTGTCGCATGCGTCTTACTGGTTTCTAATAGCTTACTTCCAATTCACGGCTGTGAGAACCTAAAATTAAAGAATATATCACTTATTTACCCTCACATTTAGCAAATCTGCGATTTGACTTTTGAACCACATTATAGTGGGGGCACGCGGTAGCGTAGTTGGTCTAGGCACTATGCTACAAGCTGGAAGGTGGCGGGTTCGATTCCAGATGAGTTTTTTTTTTTTCAATTTACCTAATCCTTACAGCCGCACTATGGCCCTGGGGTCGACTCAGCCTCTAATAGAAATGAGTATTATTGAGTATAATGAGAGGTATTAGATCTGAACTTCAGCATTTTTCTAATTCCTCTACGGTGTACACTGTTGCGTTCTCATCTCATTTCTTATTCCTTCACTGAAATTATAACTTGTTTTCCAGGGACCTGCTATTTTTATCTTTCTTTTTCAGAAATTTTCTGACGATGGTGTTAAATTTTATAAAAAATAAAACTTCTTTCTTATTATTTTTATAGGACTTATACTTATATCATCCGTGCTTTGTAAATTGCAAAAGGAAAGGAAGACTCCACACACCGGCGATCCAGCATCTCTGGTAGCAAATGGGACAACCTATAGATGTCAAACAAGCCGTTAGATAAATGAATTAATAACTCTCAACTCTAAAGCCTAAAACAGAACCCAGAGTTCAATCAAAGCCATTAGATAAATGGATCGACAACTAACCAAGACCTAAAACAAAAATTAGAATTCAAGCAAAGCCATTAGACAAATAAATTAACTAACAACTTCAAACTCTAAGACCTAAATAAAAAAATTGAATCTGAATGATTCTGTTTTAACTTCTGCTGACACTAGAACGCTTCCCAAACAGGCAG